AAGGCATTGCACCTTCATGATCAGTAGTATTCTTAAGTTCAGATATGGAAGGCTTCTTCAACAAGTTCATGTAGTCATCATAAGTTTGCAATTTAATGTGGTGCAGTGCCGCAGTGGAGTGTCATTTTGTTCGAGACAAATCTTCAAAAGGTCATCTTGACAACGATCAATGAAGGCAAGTACAGCCCATGTCTCTTCTTTCTCACATGCTTTTACCCAATCGAAGTGCTCTTTTTTTTATATTAGATGGTTTCTTAAGCAAGTTTACAAGCCATGGGATGTTCGCTTCATTAGCTTCATCAAGGGCGGTTCTTCCCTTGTTGTCAGACACATTGGTCATCCACCAAAAATTTTTTAGCAACTTTCTTCCAATTTTATCTATGTTCATGCAAAATCAAAACATTATTCATGAAAAAATTATCAAAAATAATATAAATATGATTTTCCGATCCTTAAGGTCAAATACCCCTAAATTATTAAAATTAGGAATCAGTTATTTAATTCAAACAAATCTTACCTGGGACATGCTTTAAGAGATGAAGCACTGTGGTTCCGTCATTGCTACGCAACATTCTAAAGAAATCATGTTGAGCTCTCAAAATTTCCTCAACAACAGTTCCACATCTTGTAAGTACACCATCATAGAGCGGGTTGTGGCCTTCATTGCTAAGAATCATACATAACTTTGAATCGAGGTTTGTGAGATGCATCGGAAGTTGTTCATTTTTATGACTTAAAGCTACGTGCAAAGGCGTATGTCCAACAAAATTCTTTATCCTCCAAGGAGGACTGTCATCAGTTGACATCCCTGAATATTTCATTTCTTGTTGGTAGTCTTTTATAAGTGCCATCGCGATGTCTCTGTTTTCAATTGTTACTGTAACATGTAACGGAGTATCACCCTGACTTCCTTCAGCGTTGTAGATTAAATCCCTGTAGAATTTGGACCTTGTAGCTGGAAAATCCTCAAAAAGCAATTCAAATGGCCAAATTTTGTTCAGTTGTACCCATTGGTGAAGCACGTTGTATTTCTTTTCATCTACTTTGTCCATTAAATCTGGATGCTTCTCTAGGAGCAATTTTAACACTTTTTCTGCATTTATAAAATATTGCGATTGTAAGATTAATGACAAACTACAAAAATTGTCTAATTAAACGAGCATCCCATGATGAGAAAGAGAATGTTGAAAAACTTGAATATATTTGAGTATACAAGATTATATAGTACTATCCTTTTTTTTTTATTAGTTGATCCACTTTCCTTTTACTTCTAAATTTTATTATTTGCTCTATTTTTTTATTTTTTTTTGAAAACATTAACAACAATTTTTACTATTGTTCTATCCACCGACCACTAGTGGTCCCCTCATATTGTATTTTAAATATTTTTCACATTCTCTCTCCTTCCCATTTATACTCACTTTTGATTATTAAGAATTTATTATTCTTCAACCAAATCCAGCCAATTCCATCATATTTTACACAAATTCTCCAAATAAAAAAGTGGATTTATGTTAATTTATTGCAAAACGGGTTAAAATTATCTTTAAAGTATTTAAACTTACCATTTATACTATAAAAGTTATTAATTTTCTAATAATAAATTTTATCTTACAAATATATAATGTATTAGATTAATCATATTAGTGTTTATATTATGTAATCATAAATCCATAAGAAATAACACATTAAAATAAAATTCAAATCAACGAATAATTAAAAATAACATTAGAAAAAAGTTGTATGGTTTTAAGTGCTAAGATAGCAAGCATTTTTACACAACAACAATACTTCTAGAGAGCAATTAAAGGTAAGACACTACTATTGGTAGTCAATGCAGAAACTCACTACAAGCTTCCTATGCAATAACATCTTCCTCTGTATGCACCGCTGTAGAGAGAACAGGGTCAGCCTCTGTTTGAGACTGTTGATGCATTTGCCCATCATTTTTCTTCAAACCTTGACCCCAACCACAATCACCTTTTGGGAATAATAGCGGGTATTGGAGAGGGTCATAACAGCCATAATTATGGTATATACGATGCGATTTGTCTGACCTTCCTCTTACAGTGATGTATGGTCCATTTGACTCACTTGATGAAGTATCATCTGGCCAGATTGCAGCCACTTCATCTGTTGTGGGAGCATTATAAGCACGCTGGTCAAGCACAGTGTTTTTGTTTATAATAATTTGTGTCTCTTCATGAATGTCAATTTCTTTCAATGAGCATATGGATTTTGCTGAGTTACTTCCATAAGGATTGCTATTATATCAGCCCTGATTTCTGGGAAACTCTCTGTCCTAGCACTCTACTCAAAATGGCCATCATAAAAATACAGTTGTAAATAGCGAGGGCCTATATCTTTAGGAATTAAATCAGGCAAGTAATGATAAATCTGGCCATGTAATTTAAAGACATAAATCCCTTTATGTTTTTTTGCTTTATAGTCACCACCAAATGAGCAAAATGCAAATAAGTTATTATACAAGCGAATATATCTTCTAAAGTGCAAGGCATATTCGTCATTAGATGTTAAAAGTCTATATAGTGCAGGGGGGTACTCATTAGTGGCTAATGTTATAGCCCCATTTCCACATCATAAGTGAAGTGTTTCATGCTGAAATTTTTTTGCATTGCAATGTGCACAGAAGCGAGGTGGTTTCAGTTTCAGAGGTGCTGTTGGTAATTTAAGGCCAACTGCAGCAGAAGGGGGTTCTGTTTCCCGGCAATTGAATGTTAGTCTAATTCACTTATGAATGCTACTGTATAGCTAAATCATAAAGACAGAAATATAGTGAAACTTACTGGGCTTCCTAACCGTAGGTAATTTGACTGTCTGTTTTTTCAAAACCACAACTGCTGCCTCTGCAATATGCAAAGTGCATGTCAAAATATTGTGCGATTAAATATAAATGAATGACAAAATTGCCTAGAATGTAAACGGAGATTCTCACTTTTAGTTTGAGTTTTCCTTTTCTTCCCTGTTTGTAGTGTTACAGGTGTATCATAGCAAGGCCCAGGCACTACATGTGAAGATGACTTTTGAGCTGTAACAAACATTTTCATTGATAAGGCATACAATAGCAATGCAACTTATATAACGATAGCAATTCTCGCAGGCAACAACGGAAATAGCAATAATTGAATTACCATTTTAAAAGACTTTGTTACTTGGCATCTAACTTGCCATTAGTAAAGGGATATAATTTTTGATCTTGAGTCCTTTAAAATGCACATAATGCAAATAAACGTATTTAAAGCTACCAGAGCTGTGATTAAAAAACACTAACCTTTTTTTTTGAATGCGAGGTTTCTTTGGTTTTGAATTTCTGGCCTCACCTTGTGCACTCGTTTCGCCAATTTCCCTAAAAGTTGTGAACAAAGTGCAACACAACAACCTTAGTGACACTATATAAAGACAGATACTAAACTGTCCCAGAAGCAAGAAAGAAAATAGGAAAACCTTATTGAAACAGGAGATTGAGACATAGCTGCAATTGTTCGTTGTCGCTTGCTAACCCGTGAGTTGTTGCTAGTTTTTTTCATGCACCATGCATTCATCAGACTCTGCGGCCGAAATATCTAAGCAACGAAAGCCAGTATTAGAAGCATATATAACTTGCCAAGGCATGTAGTGCTAACATTAAATCTGCAAAGCACAATTCAATCTCTCTGTTGTATCAGCAAACCCTGTCAAGCTTAAGCACAAGAATAGCTGAAAACATCTTGGGTTTCTTTGAACTGACTCATAATCCATTGCCCTTTTACTGAATTTTCCCTTTCAATTTGCTTGATTCTTCAATTCTATTTGTGATTTTCAAAAGCTTTGTAAATCAATAATTCACTTATCAAAGTATATACTCTATTTGCAGACCAGCTTATATATACAGCTAAACTTTTTAGAGAGGCGTTCCTTATTTTCTGAGTTATTTGCAAGCAGGCTAATCCACCATATTCAATCCTACCCTCAAATTTTATTTCAATCGATCGCATTGTAACCCTATTTTTTTGCTCTTGGCTGTGACTTTGTAGCAAGCACATAGTTTATAGATGACCATGCTTACCATGCATTGTAGTATCTGGGTTTTCAGCACTGTCATAGTTAGAATTTCCTTCGTTATTAGCAATTCTTGAGCTACTATGTAAGTAATCTGGCCCTGCATTTCTGTTTGTGCTCGGCTCACTTATTTCTCTGTCTAATGCAAGGAATCGCCAAACATTAAACATCAACAGTACAATATCAGTAAAAAAAACATCATGCACCTTTAACAACAATAGACCAATACCTGATGGAAGGCGGTGTTTCAGCCATAGACTGAATTTCCTGTAAACATTTACTAACCCTGGTCTTTGGGAAAGTTTTTTTTAGAGAGAAGGCAGCGATCTGTAACACACATATACAAATCTTGTGAAGAAACAATAGTGCTGAGAGCTATATTGAATACTATGTATTAGGAGTTTTGTATTTACTCATCATATATAGGCTTAAGACCTAAACCAGCAAATAAGGTTTACAGTGGCTGCTATAGATATCTAAATGTGGCTTGTTAGCTGGCAAGCACGATCAACCAGTAGCAACTCAAGGAAATAATCAGAAAAGCCAATGTGTAGTTGAGGATTATCACACCTGGAAAATACAAATATGTTACCAAAGTAAAGGGTTCTACCTTAAACCATTGCTCAACTAAAACAACGAAGCAGCAGTAGGTAATTAGCATAATGTGTATGGAAGCATGCATGATTAAAGTCAAATGTGACATTATTTGTGCAGCATCATACATAAACACATAACCATAAGCAGGCATAGAAAAAGATGACACAGAAATTAAGTATCAAAGTAAAGGGTTCTGCCTTAAACCATTTCTCATCTAAAATAATGAAGCAGCAGCTAGTAATTAGCATAATGTGTATGAAAGCATGCATGATCAGGGTCACATGTGACATTATTTGTGCAGCATCATACATAAACACATAACCGGGAAAAGGCATAGAAAAAAATGACACAGAAATTAAATTTCATTGATTAAGTGAAACAGACAAAATACATTAGATGCTGGAGAACCAGTCTAGGCTATTGTTCCCAGAATAACTGCTAAGCTAATACAAATCAGTTGAAATCTAAGCATTACAAAATGTTGCATTGCCACTATTTAACATCCTGGCAAACAAAGGGAACATAGCACCAAAAATAACAAAACAAAGCCCCCTCCCAAATACAAAGCACTGCAAACTAAGCATGTCTTCCACCATACCTAAACACCTAAAACAAACCTAGTACTATGGCACTGCAAAACAGCAAACCCACCCCCCCCCCATGCAAAGCACCACGGTCAATCAATCAAGCTTCCTACGTTTAAAGAAGGCATCAAGTTCAGCTGGAGCTGGTGATGGCTGCGAACCATAGCAAGCACCAAAAGATGACCTGGCTCTTGGCTTGTGAGGCGGTGGCGGAGGAAGAGCAGGAGACGGTATCTTATGCACAGCTGACTTAGGTGTGACACATCCATCCTCACCCAAAAAAGGAGCTAAATGCAAAGCACCTTGAATCCCAAGCACACGCTCTTTAGCTGCTAAATAGCTTTCCCGAGCCAAAGAGCACTTAATTCCAGCATATACTCCATTTCCATAAATCAGATCAATGATATCAAGATTGAAAGCAGTGCGCAGGAACTCAACAGCCTTCTTAGCTGCATCTTGCTTGGTAGCCCTAGAACAGGCATGGACAGTGCTGAAAGTGCACTCCATTCCAGTAGCAATTGAGGGGGCATAAATTGTAACCCATGACAAGAACTTCCCTGGTTTAACTTGGAAAGTCTCAACTTCTGAAACACGTGCTTTAGTCTCCAAAGCAAGAACGCGCAAAACATCTGTGTAGTCAATACAGACATATTTCTTGCGCTTCTTGTGATTAGGAACAGATGGCCACTTCACTGGCACTTCACTTCCAGCTCTTTCCACAGATTCAAGTTCAATGCGTTTCATCTGATACAGAAATTCACAACGCTCAAGCTTGCAGATTTCCTTAGAAGTCAAGTCTTCAACCTGAACACTGTATTCTATCCGCAAGGAACGCACAGCATCTTCTGCAGCCTTTTCACGTGATTCTCCAACCGTTTCAGCTGCACCACCCTCATAAACAGATTCCACGCCTGGTATAGTCTCCAAATCAACTTTCACAGAGTTCTTGCGGACATCTACCAAATAATATGCTGGTGGTGGAAGCTTTAGGTACTCAACAACTTGCTTGAGCAGGGAAGAAAAAGATATAGATATTTTCCGAGTTTGAGGCCCAGCAACCTGTTTGCATGATGATGGGGTAAGAAAGAAATCTATGCAAACAACCCTAAGTCAAGGCCATTTAAGAACTCATTGAATACCCTTAAGAAATCCCTATGTAAGTTTCTAATAGAAGTTACAGAGAACAACATAGGACAATCTATACACAATACACTGAAATCAGAAGATAGTAACTATGCCATCCCAACACATGTAATTACTTTTCAATACACTACACTCACTTCATCTCAACAAACAAAGCAAGCACCTTTTATATATTATAAACACATGATCAATTGCTGCTAATTTAAAACACACAACAGCACCTCAAACAAATCATATCGATCAACTTATAAAGCACATAACAAGCAAGATAATCACTCACAACATACATAACCATGGTTTTCAATAATGCTAATAGCTAAGTGTAACGGAAACCAAGAACAGTGAATAAACCTAAATGTGGGCATAAATCACAAAAAAGCTAATCACTTACAGAACCAGCTGTATCTCCACCCACTGCAAGATCATAACTCTGCAACAAAACCCAAAAGCATTTCAATACTTCTACCATAAACCAAGCTTTAAATGTAAAATTATTAAAACATGAATACTAAGCCAGATTGAACAATAAATCATCAGCTGTACTACTGTAATCAAAACATATGATAAGGAAGCATCATGTGCAGAGAAAAAGTCTACCAATTTATTTATAAGTGCAGGTCAGTGAATCCAAGGCCAACACAAAAAAGATGTACATACTCATGAGAACATAAACCAAGGTACCCATGGCAAGTGAAGCAACAAATGTTCTGTTTCATCCATCAGGCATGTCAAAAAATTCTTCAAGTCTACATTCATCAACCTCACAAGTGGAATGGAAGAGTGTTGCTGTGTCCATAATCTGTGGGAATGTTTGTCATAAATGTTCCATTTCCAAAGTCAGTAAAATGAAAGGATTGTGATCCATAATTGCAAGGATGCTAACTAACAGCAACCATATTTAGATCTAAATGAAACATTACCTCTAATGTAATCCCCATGAAGTTGAGCTCTGTAAATATATAGATAGATGATGAAGAAAAACAAGTAAAGGCCCATATATTTATGCTATGCTATATATAATCACAATAAAGGCAAAAGAGTAAACACACCCAAGCCCAAAAAAAAAAAAGGAAAATCGAAAAAGCCAGCTACATTTTCCACTTTACAAAGCATGCGCCAGCAATCTCACTGCCCAACACTCCATATCAGTTTTTAAAAAAGAGATCACTCGCTCTTACCCGCTGAACAATATGAAAAACCAATAGGTTAGAAGGTGCCTCATCAACAAATCCCAAAGACATCACTATAAACAATGAAATACTAAAAATAAAAAATAAAAAAAAGAAGGTCAGCAAGGTAAACCATATTATAAGCAATATATTATAAGCTAATAATAGCATCATAAACAAATGAACCCCCTTAAATAACATCAATCACTCATAATTGCATGAACACATACCTTGCTTCATCCAACTTAATTTAAAATAATGGTAGCATTAACAAATAGCAAAGCGCAGGACTAACAATAACTAATTCTCAATCCAACAAAATCAAGAAAGCGGTCAAATAGCCCAACAATGAACCTATAAATTGGCAATTAACTTATAATAAGTCAACATTAATAACGAAATAGCTCAGCAAAACTAATCTGTAACAATAACCCAACAATAAATTGGCAATTAAATCGTATAAAAGTTTGCAATTAATTAAACAACTGCCAATCAACAAAATCAAGATAAATTGGCAATTAACTTAAAATAGATCAACATTAATAACGCAAAAGCTCAGCAAACACAAATCTGTACCAATAACCCAACAATAATTTGGCAATTAGATCGTATAAAAGGCTGCAATTAATTAAACGAAATGCCAATCAACAACAAATTAACTGCACAAATTACACCAGCTAATTAGCAGCGACAACAACAAATACAATGGCGCAGCAACAGTTTGATCAAATTTATACAATAATAACGAAACAGCTAACAATAATTTAGCAATGCCTTAATATAAATAAATCTTATAAAAGTTTGCAATTATCCTTATACAATTTTGCAACTAATTCAGCTAGAGCAGATTAGTGTCCCACCACGTGCCAAAATACATGCAAACATTTAGTCAGAACTAATTTCTCCTCCACCACGTAGCAGGCACATGCAAAAACTTTGGAGGGCAATATAGTCACGCCACTGTAGATAAGGATTTTCCAGCACAAAATACAGGGGCAATTTCGCCCGTGCACTGTTCATAAGGAAATCCCTCATTTCAGCAGCAATTCTTATTTGTGTTCCCCAGATTTTATAGGGTAGGGATATAAACTAAATATTTTGCTTATAATTACGGATCTACGTCCTTGCTGAACAAGGAAGTCTATCCTTACTCAGTATTGTGTCTCTAAACTTATCTTTTTAATCTTATTGTCTACTTATTGCTTACTTATTGGTTATTTTTATTTATTGCCTTGTTATTGTTCTTGGTTGCTATATTCAATATTTACAGATTGATTGTTATTAACCCTCAAATCCTAGCAAATTCTTAGATGTCCTAACTGAGATTTGCCTAAAGAAACGAGACGACATGCGGAACATTAGGGTCTTAATTTCAACAAATTCGAATTAATTTTCTGAGTCAAATTGTTGCACTTGTGATTTCTGAGTGATTGAATTTGGAATTTTCAATTAAGTTGATGAATTCAAAGAACAAATTATTGATGAATTGCGACGATTAAAGGAACAAGGGGGGGGGGGGAATTGTGCATGGTTTAAGGAAGAGACTGGAATTTGAAAAAGAAATTGAGTTTGTAAAAGTGAAGTGATAAAGGAGAGTGATAATGGGTGGAAATATTTAAGGGTAGTTGTAATGAAAGATTCATGATGGTAATTTAGAGAGAGATAGAAAAAGAGAAAGAGAAAGAAAGAGTAGTGTGTGTTTTCACAGAGTTGTGAAGTACTGCCATGGCGGACTGGATTTTGCAGCGAGACGCCATGAAAATGGTAATGGTGGAAGTTTTGTATTCCGTACAGTAGGAGAGAGTGTGTTTAATTGGAGGGAAAAGAGGGTGGATTTAGGAAAAGGGGGTGTCATTTGAAAATTAGAAATCACGTGATACACACATGTGGAAAAACCGGTGGTCAACGCAGGAAAAACAATAGTCAACGTCGGAAATGCCCACTTGGCTATCTTGAACAAAATAATTTTTAAAACCGGTTTCTCCTGGCAAAAAAATTTGTAAAAGGTTTTTGTGAACAAAAAGGTCACTTTAAAGGTTTTACTGAACAAATTTTCCTTTTTAATTAAATATTTGGAACGGTGGTGTTAGACTCTTGCTAAGGGTGTGTTCTATTTACCTGATTTTCACTGATGTGAACTTATCTTAACTTATCTGAACTAACCTGAACTTATCTTAACTTACTAGACCTTATTAAAACTTGGTTTAGTTGTAATTTGTATTTGGGTAACCCTTACCAGAACTTATTAAACCTGATCTGAACTTTTTCGAATTAAACTGAACTTATCTGAGCTTATTACACCTAAAATAAAGTGAAAATAAGATGAACAGAACAGACCCTAGGTGAAACAACTATATGAAAAATCTGTTGGGGATTGATTTGGTAAATAAATTTTGAATTTGCTTGAATAATTCCGATTAAATTTCCTCAAATTTCCTGTTCATTTTATGTATTATCTAGTAATTGTTCTTTATATTGCTTAAATTAATCTGGTTATATTTTGGGTTTGCTTGAATTAATTCTTGATTTAGATATATTATGTTGTGTAGTTGTTGTATTGTGGTTGTATCATTGTTGAATTTTCTACTGTATGCTGGTTATATTTCATCATCACTGTTTTCTTTTTCTTTACGTTGTATCGATGTTGTGTTGTTCTTACATTGATGCTTAGCTTATATATACATCTTAATTAAGTTTAATATAATGTTGTTTTGCACTTCTACTTAAGTCCACGGGTTGTTGAAGGACTTGTTTGTGCTCAAAATTGGCTATGTTCTTCTTCAATTCCTAATATTGAAGAATATTTAGAGGAAGTTGAGGAGCTTGAAGAAGGTAATATAAAACAACATTTAGCATATGTTATCTGTTTCATTAATAATCTTGTTTATTTTTGTATTGCTAGACTGGAAGATTATGATGCTGAGATGATCGAGATTGATTGATGATGCCTTAGCTTGGAGTACTTGCTGAATTGCTGGAGTTGCTACTTTGTTCACTATGTTGTTGCTGGGATATATGTATGTTGTATGTACAATGTTGCGGTAGTGTCGCTTTTTATTCATTTTAAGACACTTAAATTTTTGTTTGTAATTTGTATTTTACTGGTTGGACAATTTATTATTATTATTATTATTAGTATTATTATTATTATTATTATTTTACAAAAATTCAGTTTGGTTTGGATTTAATTTTAACAAAATTCAGTGTGGTTTAGATTCAATTTTCAAACCGAAATTAAAACAGATTGAGTTAGACTAGACTGAATGTAGATTCAATTTCAATTCAATTTCAAAAATCCAAAACCGAATTAATTCTATTTTGGATTCGATTATGTAAAATTCTAACCGCAAACGAACTTTCACCCTTAAACAACAAGCATTGTGAAAGACACGTATTATTATATTAACTAAAAAAATGGATGAAGTATATGGTTGAGTACTTGCGTGTGAATTTGACAAAGAAAGAGTCATAGTATAAATTATTATAACCTACTTGGGAATGTTCTTAGAGCTATCTAGTTATCCTACAAAAATGAGAAATTGGTATCATGGTATTTTTTTTATAGCATAGTTGGGGATGTTCTAACAGCTATCTATTCATCCAAACATATTATTGAATTTTTGGGTGAGAAAGAGTCCTCAAATTTTTTCTATTAATATGGTATTCTTACCCTTCCCAAAAAGCATCAACCATTAACCTTCATCATTTGCTAAAAAAAAAAAAAAAAAGAAATACGGAGTATTTCATTATGGCCTCATCCTCTACAGGAAACTCAATGCTCTTCACAGCATACATTGGAGCAATGTACAAAAACATAAAATTTTCAGACGTACCAATCAACAAAAATGTGCAATTCAACTTCCTTCTTTCATTCGCTATCGATTACACAGAATCCCCTTCTTATCCAACCCCCACCAATGGCAAATTTAACATCTTTTGGGATCATTACAAACTCACTCCTTCTGAAGTTTCCTCTATCAAAAACAAGCACCCAAATGTTAGGGTAGGCGTAAGCATAGGTGGTGCTACTGTTTCGAACCACCCAGTTAACTTCATGCCCAGTTCAATAGATTCATGGGTCTCAAACGCTGTTTTTTCATTGAAGGATATCATCAATAAGTATCATCTTGATGGTATTGACATCAATTATGAGCACTTTGAAGGAGGAAGTGACACTCAGACATTTGTTGAGTGCATCGGACGGTTGATAAAGAATCTCAAGGAGAATAATATAGTGAAATTTGTGTCAATAGCTCCATTTGATGATGACGAAGTCCAAAAACGCTACCAGGCTCTGTGGACGAAATATGGGAAGTATATAGACTACGTTAATTTTCAGTTTTATTCATATGAGCAAATCACGAGTAAATCCGAATTCATCACTTATTTTAAGAATGAAAGGGAAAATTACAAAGATGGTAAGATATTGGCAAGTTATATTAGTGATGGAAGCAAAGGGCTAAAACCAGGAAAAAAAATCTTTAAAGCTTGTAAGAAGCTTATGGAAAAGAATTTACTACACGGGATCTTCTTTTGGTGTGCTGATGATTCTAAGGAATTGAAGTTCGAGCATGAAGTTAAAGCTCAAGAATTGCTTGCAACACCTTGATTTTTCAATCTTTCTGTAATTATTTTGCTTTCTAGGAAAGTTGCATGATTTTACTTGCTTATTAGGGGTAAGGTTTTGCATGTAACAAAAAATATGTCGTTATATGTACTGTCTTTCAAAGTAAGTTATTATATATGTTGACCTCACATACTTGATTGTTTTGAATGAGGATTTCCCAGTTTTTTATGAATTTTGTTTCTCACATGATATTTTTGTAAATAAACCAGCAACTTTATTCAACTATGGAGCCTACAATGATGAAAAAGTTGTTGATTTATTCACAAAAATGTCCGCACAAGAAATAAATTTCGTTTCTCACCATGAGAAACAGGGTATTTTCCTTTTGAATATGTCACAAGTACTGTAACTAATTACCTACATATTTAATGAATTCAATTCCCACTCCCAGTTAATTACAATTCTACTAATTAAGAGTTGGGAGAATTGTTCAAACAACGGTTAAAATGCCTATAGGTGGGAGAAAAAGTTGCTTGGACCTAATTCACAATAATATTATTGTGGGCATGAGATTTATATGCTCGCAACTGACGTTATATTAAACATAGTGTTCGTAATTTTAACCTACTCCCTCCATGTTTTGATAAGTATTACACTTTGACCGGCACATAGTTTTAGGCAATATAATTGACTACTTAAATAAAAATATGAAATAACTGGGGTAGTTAAAGTATTAAAAAAAATGGTAAAAAAAATAATGGGGTTAATAGTTTATTGTTAAGTAATAAATGTGAGAAAAGAAATTATAAAAAAATAGTAGTAGGGTTTAGAAGGGACCATGAGTAGAGAGAGACTATATTTAAATGTAGCTTTATGCCAAATAAAAGAAAGTGCAACACTTATTAAAACACATAGGGATTAGGGAGTAGTAAAACATTGTAATTTTGGTGGTGGGTAGATTTTATATAGGGTAAGGGTTAGGTGGGAGTTGGCTAGTTGTTTCGGGTATATCTAGTTTCGGTGGGGGTTTTGTTGGGTGGGGATGAGGGTCGTGGTGGATGTGAATCTAGTTTGGGTTGGGGTTCTGGTGGTTGGTGAAGTGGGTTACGGGTTTTGGTGGGTGTTGAGGTGGGTTAGTGCTGATAGGGGTTAGTGTGTTTACGGGTTAGGTTTTGGTGGTCGGGTTGTGGGTGGTGTTGGGCGTGTGATGGGGTGATGGTACGGGTTAGGTGGGCTAGTAATGGTGGTGTGGGGCTAAAAAATTTAAGAATTTTTCGATGTAAATTTCGTCAGAATTTTTTGACGGATTTGTATTCCGTCGGAAATTTAAGGGCCGACATATCTCTTCCGATGCATGATTTCCATCGAAAATTCCTTCAGAGAATTGTTTTTGACGAAAGTTCCGTCGGAAAAGGTCGTTCTTCCTTCAAATGCCCTTCCGACGACAGTTTTTGAAGGAATTCCATTCTGTTGAAAACACGTTTTCCGACAGAAAACAAAGTGTTTTTGACATAAATAATCCGTCGAAAACACCTGTTTTCTAATAGTTAATTCAGGGTTATGTAATTAGCGATAGATCGAAATTCATCTAAGGAAATTCAAAAATATAATTGTCAAAAACCTAGATTTCAATCCACTTTTAATTAAAGCCTTAATTAAAATTAATCAATTGAATTCAATACAAGACGCTCTAATACCGTTGTTGGATTTTTACTCTAATTTAATTACGAGTGTAGAAACAAGCCCTATGTCCGGAGCCATGTATGATTTCAAAAGGTTAAAAGTGATCAACATTAGCTAGGACGGGTTTGGGAAAGCCTAAAAATGCATTTTAGTTAACAGCCTAAACCCGACCTAGCCTGAAAAGCTCGCTTTAGCCCGACAAGCCCGCTACTTTTTAGAGGGATTGAGCACGACGTATCATGTTAAGGCCTACTCCGGCCCAATTTTTTGATCACCTCTAGGTTAAACACATCTAATATACTCTAATCCTTTGAAGAGTGCTTATTTAATGAACAGGGCCAAGAACAATAAGGGCATGTGCAATTTATAGAAAGTCCACCTACACAATCAAACCCGCCTTGAGTGTACTAGATTAGAATACCATACCAAATGCTTTAAAGGTAGAGTGTTTATTTGGATATAGGTTCTTACTTTAGAGGAGTAGTCATGAATAATTTTTCAATTTATTGTATGATCATTTAATAAGTTATTGTGTATTTATAATAAATAATAAACCTCCTTAAAGAATAAACCTAGTAGATAAAATATTAGTTAATTAATTAATTATGAAGTTTATATATTGATAAACCAACGAGCAAGCATTACGTGGACCCCACACGTACACACACTTGCACGCGTGGAACCTCACGCAAATGGATGGTCGGCCAATGCCTTTAAAGCTCGACCTTCCTTGTACGGCAAGGCATGGCCAAGAAGCCTTGCGTGCCAAGGCAGGCAAGGCAGCATGCCTTGCGTACTAGCCTCACACAGCAACTCGCATGCACAGGCCTTGGCATGTTGTTGCAACATTTGTTGAGCCTCTCTAATAGCGCTGTTGCTGCTTGCGTGCGTTGCCCTCGGCAAGGCAGCAAGCCATGGCCCTATGTTGAGGCTATTGTTTGCGAGAGCTAGAGAGGCCTAGCCCTAGGCCTTGCGCCCGACCTAAGGTTTCCTAGCCTTAGCTTGGTTGGCCTTGCGTCCACCCTTGTGGTGACCAAGGCTTTGTGCGAGGCCCTTTAGCTTAGCTCGCCGCTTGATCTGATCCATTCCTTCGTCTAATTATCCTTCGTATCGACTAGGGGCCTGTTCACATTTACTTAATTTCAGTTCAGTTCATTTCAGCTCCAATCAGTTCAGTCAGTTCAGTTCAGTTCAGCTCTTAATTTCCCTCTCTCATAAAATATTCATTTCAACTTAGTTCAGTTCAGTTCAGTTCAGCTCCAATCAGTTCAGTTCAGCTCCAATCAGTTCAGTTCAGTTCAGCTCAATTTAGTAAATGTGAACAGGCCCTAGATGTTTCATGCTTCGATTTAACGTAACTAAGCCCAAACACCAACATAATTGATTAAAAGAAATTTATAGGTGTATATGGACCTTTTAGCCCAATCCATCTTACGGTTTGATTTTGTATTTAGCTTGTGTCCTTATAATAGGATCAGTCATGAGAAAATTGTGAGACTATGAGGTCGTTTGGTTCATTAGGAAAGTGCTAATTCCCATGAAATTTCAAGTTATGGGAAATTAATTTCATCATTAAAATCATGGGAAATTCAACAAATTCGTTTGATTAAGCTTAGACCTGGCAATCCTGACCCAGGACCTGTTGACCCGAACCGAATGACCGACCCATGACCCAAAATTGACCCAAAAACATTGACCGAAAATGACCCGAAACCTGAAATTGACCCGACCCGACCCATACCCAACCCCCAAAATGGAGTTGACCCGATCTTGACCCGACACCCGAATTGACCCGACCTGAAATTGACCCAAAGTGTTTGACCCGAATAGACCCGATACCCGAAATTGACCCGAATAGACCCAATATTGATCCGATACTCGAAATGCCTCAAACTAAAATTACCTTATAATTGAACAAAAAATGTCTTGTGCCAAAAAATAACTAAAATTGTTCATTTTTAACCGTAACTAAGCTCATAAACTGAAATATATTCTATATAAAATTATTTATTTGAGCTTGACCCATAAATGAAACAACCCGAACATGACCCGACCAGATTTGACCTGACCCGAATATACTTGACCCAAAATTGACCCGACCCGGACTCGACCCGATACCTGACCTGAAGTTGACCCGAAATGATCGACCCGACCTGACCCATACCCGACCCGAATGTTAGTTGACCGAAAGTGACCCGACCTAGATCCGACCTGAATGACCCATTTTCCAGGTCTAGGTAAGCTAATGGAATAAGTAAATTCCCATGGAATTTCAACTTACCAAGGGGGGGTGTTAAGGTAAGTGAATTCCCATTTTTGTGGGAAGTTAAATTCCCATGAATTTTCATTGCCCCCATTTTTTATTTTTTTGTGTCAACCAAACAAGAGCTTGAAAATGAAATTCATGAGAATTTGCCAATTTGGAATTTCCACAAAATATTTAGCCAATCAAACAAGGCCTAATAATATTATTCTCGCTTATTGAATAGAAAGCGGCTTGCAGCTACACATTTTAATCACTTGACTTCATTGGATAATTATCATCTTTTTTAATCTGAACCATGTATTAGTTTTAATACACTTATTTGAAGGACACTACTCTTTTAACCTTAGCTAAGGGATATTTATTACAGGATGTTGAAATTACCTTTGACTTATGGATCGGTTAATCTATTTGTTTTTGACAAGACTGAACCTCGACTATTTGGTTCATATTTTCTCTTGGTTTAAGAAAAATGGAAGATAGGTACATTAGGGAACAACTTTTCGAGTTGTTAGATATTTGTAGATAATTCGTAGTCAAGGAATTTTTTTGCGGTGTGACATTGCTTTACAGCTAGTAGGATGGTGTGATTTCGATGCTCGCTCATTAGACGATCTTTGTGTAGTTGGTTGGTTCATCTTGGTTTTTCTCCCGTGTCGAGAAAGACCAAGAAGCAACATACGGTCTCCCAGTCTTCTACAAAAGGAATATCTTGTGAGTTAAAATAGTTAAAGTAACTTTCTAGATACTAGGAAATTCAATATCATAAAGGGTTGTATTTGTATTGTAATAGTCAATCTGCGTTATATATTGTTCAATATCTTGTGTTTAC